TAGGAATATTTTTATTTGGTTTGAAGATGTCTGAAATTAACCCAATTTAGGAAATAAAAATCCCGATAAAATTGGAGAAAGAATATTTTGAAGGGCTCAATAAGATAATAATGAAATATATATGGCAGGGGAAAAAAGCGAGAATTAATCTAAAAATGTTACAAGATGTAAGAGCTAAGGGAGGGTTTGTACTACCGAATTGGGAATTATATTACCAGGCAGCAGCGCTAACTTGGATTGTATTGAGAAATACAAGATTATTGACATTGGAGGGACATGACCTGCAATTAGGTTGGCATGCTTTTTTGGCATGGAAAAAATAAGATACATGGTTCCTTCCAAAGACACTACATAAGAAATGCTTTGTTATTAGTATGGGAAAAAATTAGAGAGCAACACTTCTTGAAGATACCAACCTGGCGAAGCACTTATACATCCAAATATTATTAATACGGGAAATATTGTTAGATACAAAGATATTTTGTCAGATAAGGGGGAATTTAAAATGAAATTTGAATTGGAAAAGCAGGGGATTGATAGGATTGGTACACACAGTTGCAAATACAATCTAGATATGAAAATGATGCTAAACTTTATGGTTTTTATATGGAACTGACAGAATTGGATAAGATATTGACAGGAGTAGAAGAGAGAATGATAAAAAAATATTGTACAGTTACTTATTGAGCATTAAATTAGAAGAAGAACAAGTCAAAGAAACAATGATAGCATGGGAGAAAAACTTTGGTCACACAATTTGGCAGCAACTATGGGATAAGAATTACAAATTAACATTGACAACTGCATACAAAGAAAACCTATATAAGATGTTTTACAGATGGCATTTAGCACCGGAAAGACTGGCCAAAATTTTTAAAATTAAATCAACTAAATGTTGGAAATGCCAACAGACACCGGGGTCGTATTATCATATGTGGTGGACATGTGGGGAAGCAAAAAGATAACTGGGCAAAAATTTGCATGTGGCTGGAGAAGATGACACAACAACATATTGATTTAAAACCGGAATTGTTCCTGTTGGGGATTTTACCGGGAATTTATAGTAAAGAAACTATATATTTGATTATTCATGTAATAACCGCAGCTAGAATTGTATTTGCACAAAATTGGAAAAGCGAAGAGATCCCTATAGATGAAAAAGTGATTAAGAAAATATTAGAATGTGCAGAAATGAATAGATTAACACTTGCAATAATATTTATAGGATTTTTATATAATATATTATTATATAATATATATAATATATGGGAGTTGTTTTATCAATGGTTAAAGAATAAATATGAAAGCAATGTATTGTAAAAATAGGTAAGTAAAGAAGAGAAATGTTAGGTTTATGTTAATTTATCAATATTATTATTTAGTATTAATATAAGAATGAATGTAAGAAATGAATATGGGGTAAGTTTAATTGTTAAGACACAAAGAATTTTATACTCAGATGATACACTGTTTAACGCAAGTTGGAATGTTTAAAAAATATTTTAAAAAAAGGAAATAAAAATCTAAGAGATCAGATAAATAGTAGGACTATATGGATTAGTTTGTTAAGGTGTTGCACTTCAATAATCTTTTTTTTTTAATTGAAAAAGTTTTTCAAATACAGATTTCCCCCCCCTCCTCCCTAACCCCCCCTCCCCCTCCCCTCCCCCCTTGGCTTCTCCAAAATAAAATCCAAATTGATATCACATTGTATAATACTTTACCATCCTTTTACACCCCCCCCCACATGCTAACCATTTCTAACATTATTATTATATCCCCCCTATACTATACATTTCAAAGCAACATTCAGCTATAAAATTATATAATAAATCCTAATTTGGCATTTATTCAACTCATAATCTACCCATTTCCTCCACCCCCATAACATCCCTTTTCCTAAACTAAACAATCAGTAGCCTAACCTATCTCCACCCATTTTCCTACAGGTCTACCATACATAATATTTTTAATATCTTTGTTCTTCTGCCCCACACCACTAAAATATATTTCCATATATAAATAAAATCCTTAAATGACTTTAAGTTTGTAATCCATATAGTATCTTCTGTAATGTCTTTCAACTGGATTGTTAATTCCATTACCCATGTTAGGGTAACATCAAGTTCTGCTTCCAACAGTATATTCAGTATCTTCAATTAGCATCTGCCCCCATCAATAATAAGTATTTTCATATATAAAAAACCACCCGAGTGACTTTATATTTATATTCCATATAGTATCTTCTGTAGTGTCTTTTGTCTAGATTATTAATTCCAACCACCACGTTAGGGTAACAACCAGATCTTCTGCATGCCCCAATTCCATAGTTCTCTTGCCTTATAACTCAACATATACGTAATCCATTTTTCAAAGAGTCCAAAATAGAAAGTTCCAGTCCGCTCAATTAAAGGCCATCTTCCACATCCCAAGAACACCAGCACTGCAGAAATCTGTTATTCTTCTCAAAATAGTATAAGTCTGTAATTTGCCTCAATTATATTTCATGTATCAGCCTTCTATAAATCCCGCTTATTATATTTAATCGTCTCTTATGTAACTGGCATTAGTCTATTGGCTAAAAAAAAAGAAAAAAAAGTTTTTTATTTAGTTTAAAAATTTTTAGTTTTGTAGAACCTGCTTCTTCTTTTCTTAACTTGTTGTGGTTTAGATCTCCATCCTGGTTGCCTTTCTAGGACTTGTATATCAGCTGATTGAATTACATGCTGGTCTGTAACTTGATAAGACATCAAATCGAAATCCAAAGCCGCCTCTCTTATATTTATAGGTAATCCAGCTATAGCCTCTGAAGGAGAATCCAAAAGCGGCTCATCCAAAAAGGCCTCTGTAACTTGTTGTTTTTCCATTACCTCCATCTCCATCTGCTTAGCCTGGGTTTCAATATCTTGTTCATTTTGCTTTTCTTTATCCCCCTCCTGTGCTCCTAACACTGATGACATACGTGGAGATGTTGGATCCATTTTAAAAACCTTGTAATAAAATTCTTCCGCTTTTTCAACAGTATTTAGTTGATATCTTTTTCCTTGATATCTCAATATTATACCAACTGGAGCATCCCACCTAAATGGGATGTTTTGTTTCTTTAACTCAGTCACCAAAAATCCAAAGTCCTTTCTATCTTTTAACATCTTGGACGGCAGCTCTTTGTATATCCAAATTTTCCTTCCATTCATTTCTAGAGTGGAGTTAAAAGACTTTTGCACAATATCATTTCTTATTCCTTTATCAGTAAAGTAAATCACCACATCTCTAGGCAACTGCCTTTGCTTTGCCACCCAAGAATTTACTCTGTAGGCCTTATCAATCTTACAGAATACCACTTCAGGACTAACCTTTAAAATCACAGCCAGAACTTCAGCAGACATCTTTCTCAAATCATCTCTGTTATTTTCCTGTAATCCCCTTATTCTGACCGCAAATTGCATCACTGTGACTTCATTTTCAATCCTTTGTTTTATATTATCTGCATTATAAGTCTTGTGATCAGCTTCCTTTATTTTAGACTCTACTTCTGAGCTATTTTCTTGAATATTTATCAAATCATTTTCAATTCTTTGTATCTTATTATCCAGATTATGAATCTTATAATCAGCTTCCTTCATTTTAGACTCTATTTCTGAGTTGATATCTTTATCCATCTTTATAATTATTTCTGAAAAGCTTTTCAAAGCTGTTACAATATATCGTTTCAGCTTATCATACTTTTGTTGTACCAACTCTTTAATTTCCTGTCTAAATTTTTCAAGATTCTGGTTCACAATCTCATCATGTCTTGCCATCTCCTCCAAAACAAATTCCTTTAGGTCTTTAAAGCCATTCTTCTGCATCTGCAAGCTCAAAACTTGTTCATGTGATTTGTAAATGGGGGAGCCCCCCCCCCGCAGCTTGGTTGTCTGGCTTTATCAGTTTTAACGCCATCCTGCCACACAAACAGACTCTTTTTAAAGAAAAAGACTTCTCTCCAAACAATATCAGTATCAAGTCTCTAAGAAGGAAGAAGCATGAAATAAGAATTTTTCTCTTCACTTCTAGCCAGCACTATTGCTTCAGATACTTTGTAGCGTATTAAACTATTCAAACGGAAGGACTTTCGCTTTCAGCTTTCTTCTCAAGCCTCAGCCAGTCACCATTTTAAACTTTCATTCTTCCCCCTTTCACTCTTTCTTCACTTTTAAAATCACTCATAGGGTTGTTAGAAATACTTGCAATTTAGAGTCCCAAATCCAGATTTCATCCTGCTTGTTCAGACAATCTGTTAGTTTTTGTTGATTGGATTGGTTCCATCGCCTGGCTCTGCAAGGCACAGAGTTCCCCCGAGGCCCGGAGCAGCGGCGAGCTGGATAGGGAGCCACATTCTGCTTCCTCCCCAAGAGTAAAAAAAAACTCTGGGGAGTTCGCAGAGGGCTCTACCTGCTCTCGCCGGCTGTCTCTCACGTCTCCTCAATGAGACGGAGTTTTTCGAGCCGTCTCTCAGCTGTAGAGACGGCTCTTATGGGCAAAGAGGCTGGCAGTCCCGAAAGACCGCCTGGCGGCGACCGCACTTCAATAATCTTTGTCTTGTGGTGCAAAGAGCTCCAAGTTCTTGGTGCTGATACTGTGTCTTATTGGATACGCTGCACATACAAGAAGTTCATTTATTTTTCAAAGAAAAACAGAAACAAACTAGTGCTGTTTGTTAAATTGTTTGAATGTGAAGTTTTATTGAGGAAAGCAGCCATTAACTCTTTACTAATAGTTGCTAAATAACTATAAAATAAAACAAACTTTGAAGATATTGTAATACCTTGCACACAGTTTAATCACAGACTTGTTTGCAAGGAATACCTGTTTAACTTATTTTCTTTTAAATTTTCTTTTTTAAAATTTCTTCAGGTACAATAGTTGCTATTTACTTTTTAGCCATTGCTGATAAAGGTTTAAAATAGAAAGCTAATTTTATTAACCTAGTCATAGTAACACTGTTGCACATTTTTAAACAGGTAAAGCCCAGGAAGTGGAATCTGAATTGATAGAAAGTCACCGAACAGAGACAGTTCAACTGCATAAAAAGATTTCAGAAAAGGATGATGATCTACAAAGGACAGTGAAAAAGTATGAAGAAATACTTGAGGTATAAATTTGTATTGAATAATGTTTGTGATCTTAAAATCTAAATATAATGGAAAGTTGTTATACACTTGAGATTCGTACACAGCTATAGATTGGTACACACAACTGTGATATTTATTTATTTTATTTATTTATTTTAGAAAATTTATATTGCCACCTATTTGCACTTGGCGACTCAAGATGGCTTACCCGAATATAAAAACATCTTATATAAAAAAACTAATAAAAGAAAATAATAAAATAATAAAATAATAGTTCTCCCCCCCCCCCCAGGACAACACATCACACAAACCATTTAATGGGCTACATCCTGCTCTCGGTTTCCCCAGGCTCGCTGGCAGAACTAGGTCTTCAGTACCTGCCTAAAGAGTGTTAGAGTCGGGGCCAGTCTAATCTCTGGGGGAATGATGTTCTAGAGAGAGGGAGTCACCACGAAGAAGCTTCTTCTGGGTCCCACCAGGTATATCGTTCTAGGGGATGGGATGCGCACATTCCTTGCCTCCCCACTCTAGTGGGTTGGGTAGATATGACTGGCAAGAGATGGTCCCAAGCCGTGAAGGGCTTTAAAAGTGACTACCAGCACCTTGAATTGCACCCAGAAGCAAATCTTCAACCAGTGCAGCTCCCTCAGGAGAGGTGATACATGGGCACACCAAAGTGTGCACAAAATCATGTGGGCTGCTGCATTTTGCACCAACTGGGGCTTCTGGAGGCTCTTCAAGGGCAGCCCCATGTAGAGCATGTTGCAATAGTCAAGATGGGAAATGACTAGGGCATAAGCGGTTGCGCAAAGGCCCTCCTGGCCACGACCTCCACCTGCTGTTTGAGCAGGAGTCACAAGTTCAGGAGAACCCCCAGATTACGCACAGGGTCTGTTTGGGGCAGTGCCACCCCATCCAAGAATAAAGCTGGCAATTCTCCATGGGCCAAAGAAGCCCAAACCCAGAGCCACTCAGTTTTGCCAGGGTTCAGTTTCAACCCGTTGCTTCCCATCCAGCCCCTAACAGCCTCCAGGCACTGCGAGAGGGAGGACACAGCATTGCTTAGCTCACCACGGGTTGAGACATACAGCTGAGTATCATCAGCATATTGATGATACCTCAAACCATGGTAACTGATGATCTCACCCAACAGCTTCATATAAATTTTGAACAGAATGGGCATTGGTCTTACCGTACAGGCCAAATTTTTTGATAGTTGTGTCATCGTCCAGAGATGGGCTGCTTCAGTCGGATCTGTCACTGGCTGAGCCACAGTTTTTTGACCACGTTCCTTGCTCCTCCCTTTGGGGCCCAGTTTGGTGAAGGAGGCCACAGGAAAGATCTCCAACAGGAACCACCACTATCAGAGATAGAAACTGGTCCAATGGAACAACTGGAAAATAAACTCCTTTAACATTAACAAACAAACAAACTGTACAGGCCTGAGACAAAACAAACTATTAAATTTAAAAAGATAAAATTATATAAAACATTCACAACCTTAAAATTACAATCAGCAATGCTAATCATAACAAACAAACTAAATATATGTAATATATATAAGTACAAATATACACAATGACTTATTTCCTCTTTTATCTTAATGACAGTGTATGATTATTACTTTTAATTTCTTACTAAATTTTAACTTTACCTTCTTTTCCATTGGTTTATCCACTCATACCAACTATCCCATACCTTAAAATACTGTGAGTCTTCCTTGTCTTTTAATTTCAAAGTTAGTCTATCCATTTCTGCACATATATAAATTTTTTGAATTATTTGCTGCTCCGTTGGCAATTGATCTGTTTTCCAGGCTTGTGCTAGGGCTAACCTAGCCGCTGTGATTATATGTAATGTTAGATATTTTGTTTCTTTTCTAATGTTTTGTTTAAGCATTCCTAACAAAAAGATTTCTGGTTTTTGCTCAATATCTTCCGCAGTTATTTCTGATATCCACATTTTTATTTTTATCCAATATTTCTTAATTTTTGGGCAAAGCCACCAGACATGAAAGAAGGTTCCCTGTGCTTGTTTGCATTTCCAACACGTTGGATTAAGATTTGCATACATCCTCACCAATCTCGCAGGGGCTAGATACCATCCGTACCACATCTTGTAATGATTCTCCTTATATGCTACTGGTTTTGTTATTCTATAGTTGGTTTCCCATACCCTTTCCCATTCTTCCAATTGTATATTTTTACCAATATTCCTTGCCCAGGCTATCATTTGTCCTTTAACTATATTTTCTGCCAAGTCAAATTCTAATAAATATTTATAAATCTTTGAAATCAATTTTCCATCTTTAGCTTCTAATAATTTGTCTAGCCAGTTGGGGTTTGTTTCAATTCCTCCTTCCTCACTATCTTTATTGTATCTAGTTTGTATTTGTAGGTAGGGCCACCAATCCATTTCTTTACCTTGGTCCCTAAGTTCCTGCCATGTTTTTAATCTTCCATGAGAATCCAGTAATTCTTTGTATCTTATTAATTTATGGGCAGCTAGTGTGTTGGGGTGCATTGCCGCCTCCAATGTGGATATCCAGCCGGGAACCTTCATATAATGTTTATTTTTAATTTCAAACCAAATGCCAATTAGTGAATTTCTTATTATATGATTTTTAAAATGTTTATATGTTTTGTTCCACAAGAAGGCATGCCACCCCTTCAATAAATCGTGGCCTTCCAATTTTAAGTCTTTGATTTTCCAAATTGACCCATTCTTTAATCCATGTCAGACTCACCGCTTTGTAGTATTTTTCCCACACTGGTAGGCCAAAACCCCCTCTAGTTCTATCATCCTGTAATATGTTTAAATTTATCCTTGGCTTTTTTCCCTCCCATATGAATTTTGATGTTATTTTATTCAGATTTGTAAAGAAGTTTTTCTCTAATTTAACCGGAATAGTTTGAAATAAGTAGAGGAGTCTCGGCAGTATATTCATCTTTATCGCCGCAATTCTTCCTAGCAATGATAGCTTTAGTTTCCCCCATCTTTCTAAGTCTTTTTTAATTTGTTGTACTAACTCTCCGTAATTATTATCTTTTATGGCTACATTCCTACTTGTCAAATTGATACCTAAATATTTTATCTTCTTAACTGCTTGTAATCCTGATTGTTTTTCTTACTCTTCTATTTGTTTTACTGTTAGGTTTTTAGTTAATATTTTGGTCTTATCTTTATTAATTTTAAACCTGCCACTTTGCTGAATTTCTCTATCTCATCTGTTAATTTTAATTCTGTTTCTAGTGGGTCCTCTATGAAGAATACAAGGTCATCAGCAAACGCTTGGACCTTGTATTCTTCTCCTTTTACCTTGAGTCCTTTTATGTTTTTATTTAACCTAATTCTTCTAAGTAAATTTTCCAAGATTAGAATAAAAAGTAGTGGTGAAAGTGGGCACTCTTGCCGTACTCCTCTACTTATTTCAAAAAAATTTGTTAGTTCCTATTGACTAGTATTCTTGCTCTCTGTTTTGTGTATATTGAAGCTATCATCTTTTCAAATTTCTCCCCGAATTTCATATTTTTTATTTGTTGTGTCATAAATCTCCAATTAACCCGATCAAATGCTTTTTTAAAAACTTTTTTATTTTTTTTTATTTTTTTCCCCATTTTTTAAATAATTTTTTATTAATTTTATTAACATACATGAATCATAATATATAATATATAACAATAAACACAATACAAACTATCAACGAGTGCTCCCCCTCCCCTCGGGATCATTCCTGCTTCCAAAATCTTAAAGCTTCTTCTGGTGGTGGTATCCCCCTTCCTCCCGAAAACACATATATTAGGAACTGTTTCCAGATTCCATTGAATTCATTTACTTTCATTATGCCCCTCCTTACTTTAATATTAAAAGTCAGTTTATCATTTATGCCAATATACCATACTTCCTTATACCATTCTTCCAAACAATAATCACCTCATGTCTTCCAGTTCCTAAAAATCATTAACTTTGCTGCGGTTAACAAATTTGTTATCAACTCTTTAGTCTCTTTTTTACACTTTATATCTTCCAATAGTGAGAATAATGCTACCTTTGGTGCCTCTTCTACCTTTATTCCTACAATTTCTTCAATCTCCTTAAAACCATCTTCCACAATTTTTAAACAAATTTACAATCCCACCACATATGTAAATACGTTCCTTTTTCCCCAGAACCTCTCCAACAGTTATCTGAGTAATTCTGATTCATATTGCTTAATCTAACCGGAATTAAGTACCACCTCCATACCATTTTATAATAATTCTCTTTTATTCTTACTGACATATTTCTCAACACTCTTTGTTGCCAAATTCTTTCCCAGCTCTGTTACCCTATTTGTATCTTCAAATCAGTTTCCCATACAATCCTTCCTAAATTTTCCCTCTCCTCTTCCTCCAACAATGTTTTATAAATTCCACTCATTAAGCCTTTTATCCCTTTATTTTCTTCCTTTACAGTTTCAGTTTTTTCAATTAATTCCTCGAACCTCGTTAACTCTCTACACTCTCCATTTTCTCTTATCCAGTTTTTAGTCCATTGTTCCACTTGGCTATAATTTAACCAAGACAACAGTTTTCCTCCTAGAACCTCTTCCAATTTCCCACGTGTCCTCATTCCTCCTAACCATTCCCTTAGTTTCATTTTATTTTTCTCTTTTAAAATTTTATTCACTTCTTCAAATTCCCTGGGAACTTTTCCAAGATTACTACCGATGTTAATGGAGAGTTCTTCGGAAGCAGCCTCCCTTTATATTTACTCCAAATTTCCCAATGAAACTTCAGGATAGGATTGCTTATGCTTTCCTGCTTCCACCTTCCATAAAAAATATATTTTCCAGCTTCCATTCTAATTTGGTTTTAATTTTAGATTTATCTTCCAACCATTCCAATTCTCCTATTCCTAAAATTGCCTCTATAACATGTCTAAGCCTATTAGCGACATAATATAATTTAATCTTTGGGAGTCCTAAACCCCCTTTTTTTTGGCTTAGATACCACTTATTTTTATTTATCTTCACTTTCTT